TAGTTTGAACCCTTTAGGAAAGTATCCCGAGGGAATTAAGTTTCTAGCTCCAATACTTTAGGAGCTACAGGGAATCCCCATGACCGCGAATTTTGATCCATGTTTGGAGGGGGGTACCCTAACATGGATCACCGAGCTAGAGTATCCCCCTTTACATATGTGATAAACAACAGTGTTAGGGGAAGGCAACTTTTTTTGTTTTGTCTCAAAACAACCCCTTCCTCTTTTTAGGGGTTGTGATCCATGTTTGGACGCTGGCCCAAACATGGATCAAAACTTCGGCATGTTTGGATACGTTTGTAAAGCTCGTCTGTCGACGAAATTAATAGTTTCTTATACCAACGTGTTCCTCGGATTATTCTGCTCACGGACTTATAAGTTCCTCCCGCTCATTTGCATCTTCGGGGCGGATATAGGGCCTGGAAAAGTTGCATTTCATTTAACTAGAAATTCGGCTTTTTCTAGATATCCTGACTAACCACGTGATATTGACACTCTGATTCGTTTGAGAAATGTTCCTCGAAACCGGTTCTGTAAACTTAAAACATACGTTTTTGAAATTATTGTATTTTTTTGCTCAGTCACGGGATTGTAAGGGCGCTAAGAGTGGAAGGGGACCTAATATGTGCCCCAGGTTGCCTACCCGGACCCCTCGTAAGGCGCAATGGAAGGTGTAAACGCTTGTAAAACTTTTCCTATTAGAAATTTGTGATGCTTGTTTGCATCAATCCCTTTATTTTGGTCATATTTTGCCGTGTGCAAAGTGGCATCACGCATGCACGATTTCTAATGACTGATTTTGAGGCGCAAAACTAAAGAAGTTATTTGAGGAGGGTTCAAATTCTATGTTTTTACCCCTACCCGCATTTTTAAATTACTCACGGTAAAGGATCAAAGTCTTCAGAGTCTTAAAGGGCATACCTTAAAACGTCTTCTCATCGAATACCAAGTGATTCCACCGGTTAGTTTTCTTAAAAACAGGAAATAAGTAGAACCATGTATGTCGCCTTGTCTTTTGGCGCGCTATGACGAGGTCTGGTGTGCAGACTGTTTTTCGGCGCGCACCAGCGGGCAGGAGAGCGATCAGACAAAAAATTGCCACATACAAATTCTGTTGCATATATAGTCCTTTACCTGGGGAACTTTAAAATTTTCAAATCGGTCGACGCAATCAGAAGTTAGAACCCGCCAAACAGAAATGATCCATGTTTGGTACCTGATCCATGTTAGGTAGGTTTACCATATTTTAATCAGCCGCGCGGTGGTGGGACAACCTGTCAGGGGTTAACGGTGCGTGACGATGTAACGGCGTTACTGTAACGCGTTAATCGTTACGTACCGGTAACGCGTTACATTCCTCGCGACGCGAGCAGTAACGTAACGCAACGCGATACCGTTACCGACGTCTGTAACGATGTAACGTCCGTTACATTTTTCTCGTTACAATTTTAAACGTCAACTTAATTTGAAAGCCTTCAAATATTATACTGCTACTGCCTTGTTTCGGAGGTAATGTAGCCAGTTAAAATAATACAGCACTAAAACCCTGACATTGTGCACTTGCCAACTAAACGCAATATGAGTATTCTATTTTTAATTAAATTTTCCCTCCTGTTTTTTATTGTTTTCCTGACATTTTTTGGACGAGTATCTAATAAAGTATCTGAGATACTTTGTGCAGTATCTTTATCTTTATCTAGATACTTTTACGATGCAGTATCTTTATCTTATCTGAAGATACAAATTCGACCAGTATCTAGTATCTTTATCTAGATACATTTAGGAAGTATCTTGCACAACACTGCCCCTAAGATACCCTGAAATTTGTAGACCGCTAGCTCATCCCCTTCCTCTTACACGGACCACGGACGACGGACGGACGGACACGAGAGCGGTTGCTTAAGCCCGCTTTAATGCTTTTTTTTTTAAAGCAGAAGGGCGGGCTAAAAACACGATAAAAAGCACGTAGGGCCCCGTGCCTTAACATTATGCAAGGGGTAGCTAAGCGAAGTTCATATATAACAGAAGACGTAACAAATATATAGAACAAAACTATAATGAATGAGGGTCCGCCTAGCCAGAACATGTCTGCTACGTCTGCTACTGTCCCTTTCTATCCCCACTGCCCTCTCCCTACTCAATTTACCCTTTTCTGTAATGCCACATGATGCATGATGCATGATGCACACATTATTCATTTCATTTCTGAATGGTGAAGTTCTATTAGGTTGCCTCTAGTAGAAGTGAAGTTAAATACCCTAATATTCAATTTAATTTCAAAATACATTTAAACTAGTATAACTTGTCGCTCTTTCATTCATTTTTATCAGATCTCTCCGAAGCATTTGAAGGATCACGAGGTGCTGCAGTATATTTAATTAAAAGTTCTATAATGTATCGTATCATAGTGTTTAATTTAAATGCTCCCACCATTTTATTGGATATGATTAAACATAATGGGACTGCAGACAAAGCTAGTCAACGAAAATGATATACCTTGTTCTGATTTCGATGAGCCTATCCTACCTGAGTTAACGATATTGGCTTTAATATTGTTCGGTCCCTTGCAAATCCATGGCTATCGTGAAAATAAGTTGTGGGTTAAATAATCGTTTTGACATGTCCTAATGAAACATTAGGTGACTTCCAATCATTCTACAAGTATACACCATTCCATTTTGTTTAAATACAACTAGCTATATGTACGCCAGACAACGTCTCGCGTAACAGGCTTCGCGATATCTCACGAAATACTGTTACGCTGCGACGCGCCGGGCGCACATATAGCTAGGCCTGCGGCGCTGACACCCGAGACGAGTTAAGGACAGGGTATAGGGGAACACGGCCTTCTAGCCCCTAAATTTGACATACTCGAACTATTTGTCTTATTACTCTAAAATTAGGAACATGAAACTCCTCCTGTTCGGTAGCTGCTTTCATTAAAAGTTCGAATATTTGACAGATTGTTATGTAAAACTCAATGTTTTAGTGATACTAGATTATCTAGGGACCCTTAAGGCCAAAAGAGGATGTGGTGCGACCCGTAATATGTGGTTTAAGTATTACTGCCTCTACAATTCTGTGACATGAAGCCTTTTTTACGATTTAATAGACCATTTTGTCTTTTTCACGTTGTTTTCGCCAAGAAATAACTAATAGCGCCGAAACGGTACAAGATAGAGCGAAACGGACGAAATTTTTGCTCGGATTCTACTTTTACAAGTTACCCCTTTGGAACCTAAAAAAAAAATATTTGAAAAAAAAAATATTTTGCGACCTGTGGTTTTTGATTTTTTTTTTTTTTAATCAATTTTTGAGCTGGAAAGCTCATTTCCGAACTCGATCTGTCTTTTTATGATACAAAACGACCCTGAAAATCCCAGGTCGCTATCTCAATTCTTTCTCGAGTTATCGTGCGGACAGGCAGACAGACAGACAAACAAACAGACAGAAAAACAGAATGAAGTTTTCCGGTCAGTGGAGTAATGGGCTTCGCTAATCGCTCAGCCAATTATAGATTTTTAGGGAAACTCGCATTCCGTCATATGTGCAGCCGTTTTCGAGAAAAAGACAAACGTACACAGGGACAGACAGACTCACGACCGAGACAGCGCCTGACCCCTGACCCCTCAGCAACTTGGGCTGAGCTTCGCTCAGCGCCGAAAGGGGATATGGAAACTTATTTTCGTAGGTGGTCTCGAGTTCAACAGCCATGAGGCTATGCATGTTCTCACACTCGGCCCTTCTCCAGAAAGTCACAGATGTCTTTACACGACTGGCTCAAAAAATGTCCTCCATGGAAAGGTAACAAAAGTCATACAGCCAGTTCTTGCCACTTTTCTACCGCAAAACTTAACATACAATCACGAAACTTCCAATAGATATAGTCAGACCAGCCTAAGGTCCGTCTTTTCCTCACCCCCTCTCGCCTGCAAACTCCTATGCTGCCCGTGCTGTGAAAAGACGGACCTTAGGCTGGTCTCACCATAGAGTTGTGTCTCCTCCACTAGACGACACCTCAAACGTAGGTGAGGCATGTCTGGTTCGCCGCCTACACTGACTACAACACCTAAAAGCTGTTAGTGTCAAGCCGAGGGGGTAATCACTACAGACAGTAGGTGTACACATTTCTGTGAAAGTGACAAAAAGTTGACCGAAAATGATGAAAGCTGACAGAAAATGTGGACAAAAGTGACTTATCGTGCGTTGATCAGATCAAAAATGAATAAAATAGAGGGGATATAGGCATAGAAATGAAGTGAACGTTGTAAAACGGTGAAAAAGTGAATAAAAGTGGAAAAGTAAAAAGTTGAGGTGTACGCATTTTCACGGAGTGTTTACCCCCTCGTGTCAAGCATAGAGTGTAAGATCCGTGCATTCTTTTGCAAAGTTTCTATTGCAATTTTCGATTAGGTTCAATCGGGGTTGTGTCCGTGTTTTGGACCTGACCCAAAATACGTTTTGCCCTTGCCGATCGGTCGTCTCGTTCGTCTAAAATGTCAGATTTTATACGAATTTGTAAGATCCGTAACCAGTAAGATCCGTAACCATTATACGGATCCCTTATGGGTCTTATAGGGTAATTTTGTAACTTACGAGTGGGAGCTCGGATCTTCGAAATCTTGTATCTTGGCACGGCAGTAAGTGACCATAAGGAAGTTTCTGATTCAGAATGTGTTGTTTTGGGGGGCAACTTCCTCTGACATTTTACGATTTGACGCCTCCTTCTCCGTCTTTATGTGCAATAACTTGGTCATTTTCGCCGTATTTTCGTCGAAACGCAATTTTTTTAAAAAAAAATCCTACTTTTTGGACCAACCCCTAGTTCTCTGTTACCCCCTTTCAGCCCCTTAGGGGTGGTTGCCAGGATTCGCACCAGGCGTTTCGTTGTCCAGGAGTGACCCCTAAGATACCCTGAAATTAGCGACTGTTAGCGACTGATGAGCGCGTTTGCTTAGGAGGTAACGAGTTTAGCGAGTCTTTTACGGTACCAACCTGAGCAGACGATACGTGGAGGAACGTCAATAGAACTCGCAGGGGGAACTTCGCCTTATACGTTCGGTGGGTCCAGAGCCGATGTGCACCAGCAGTTGTTCCAAACAGTGTCAGACTTCCATACACATACACTGAAAATTAAAGAGATATTTCTGAAGTGTTTAATCTTTTTTTAAGAGGCATTCTTAAACTAGCTATATGTACGCTAGACCACGTCTCGCGTTACAGGCTTCGCGATATCCCACGAGACACTGTTGCGCTGCGACGCGCCTGGCGCACATATAGCTAGGCCTGCGGCGCTGACACCCGAGACGAGTAAATGGGTTAGGGAACAGGGCCTTCCGGGCCCAAAATTTGACCCAGTGTGTGGTTCAAGTATTACCCCCTTCACAATTCTCTGACATGAAGCCTTTTTTACGATTTAATAAGACATTTTGTCTTTTTGGCGTTGTTTTCACTAAGAAATGCCCCATAGCACCGAAACGGTATCGAATAGAGCAAAACGGACGAAATTTTTGGTCGTAGGGTTCTATATTCACGAGTTACCCCTTTGGAGACCATAAAAAAATTTGAAAATTAAAAATTAATTTGTGACCTCTGGTTTTTGATTATTTTAAAAGTCAAGTTTTGAGCTAGAATGCTCATCTTCGAACTCGATCTGTCTTTTTATGATACAAAACGACCCTGAAATTCCCAGATCGCTATCTCAATCAGTTTTCGTGCGGACAGACAGACAAACAAACAGACAAACAGAATGAAGCCTTCTCGGTCAGTGGTGTAATGGGCCTCGCTAATCGCTCAGCCAAAAAGGCGTTAGTTTAGGGACTAGCTATATGTACGCCAGACCACGTCTCGCGTAACAGGCTTCGCGATATCTCACGAAACACTGTTACGCTGCAACGCGCCTGGCGCTCATATAGCTAGGCCTGCGGCGCTGACACCCGAGACGAGCAAATGGGAGGGCATAGGGGAACAGGGCCTTCCGGGCCCAAAATTTGACATACTGTATGAATAAATGGGATGCTACCGGATTCCGTGGGTGTCGAATATGCCATACGCGTGTCCAGTGTTCACAGGTTAACAGAAAAGACCCACTCGATATTCGATATCTCGAACAACAAAAATACCGGAAGTCAGGATCAAGTGGGTTAAGGGCCACTCATAATAGAGGTGTAGCATCAGTGTAACACAATTTACTCTTTTGGCCTACATTTAGTCAAAAATATGTTCTTACGGCGCTTCAACCTGACGGCATTCAATGGCAGAAAACGTTCCATAAATTGACCGACTTCCAGTATTTTTGTTCTTCGAGATGTCGAAAAGTGCTGGGGTGAAATTGAGTACTGGTGCTCTCTTTCGAGTTTTGTACCCTCTTTCTGATATTACCGTATGCCCACATAGGTAGGCTGAATCGTGTAGTAAGCAGCACCCATGCTGCGGTAATGTGGAAGCCTCCGATAATTACGATGGCGTACCACGCCAACTCTTGGGGTTTACGTGTATTACTTTTGGCAGCAGTTTCCGCAGTTGCGCGCGACTTTAGGGTTTTTCCTGACATCATTGTCACTTCTGAAAGAAAAGGAGAACACTTGATTGTAAATAATGCTTGGCTATACGCAGTAAGGTAGATCGAAAATCCTGGATTTCAGAAGCTAAGGTACAAGATAGTACATCAATTTATGTCAAGACAATCTGCAAACTCCATTTTTGCCCATCAGCACCCCTTATAGCCCCGTGGAGGGCCAAAAGCTAGCTTTACAGGGTATAAGGGCATTCATCCTCCAGGGGCTTCACTGCGAGTAGTTGGGGTGGCACTTTGTTGTAGAATAGCCCATCTTGCAGGGGCTCTGGACTGGGGCTGTTTAACGTAAAGTATTTTAACTATTAAGAGCTTGCTGAAAATTAACGTTGTCATTGGATTACCGTTATAGGATTTAACGTTAATATAAAATAACGAATTAATGTTCCGCTACACATTTACAGTTAATTCGTGTAACTAAATCAAAGTTATCAATAACAATAACGCTGTCCACGGTGTCCCATTCCGGGCAAGAGAAGAACAAACCGTCCGGAAGTAGTGTAAAAAATATAAATTAAAAATCTTTACTTAAAGCAGATGATACAAATTGATGAGTAGGGCTTCTGTAATTAGCTGCAATTTGTTTGGTTGCATGCAATGTTGCAATTTGGCAGCCTACTGGTGTAGAGCAGGACTCACATGGAGCGGACAGGATGGCCGCCGGCGATGACCCAGTACGGTTGAGCAGGGTACATCCCCCCCCCCCCCCCAGCGCGGTGAAAATTGTTCCTTCTTGTCGAAGGACTACCGGAACGACTTAAGGACGCCCCATGCAATTTTCCCTATCCCGTCCTTGAATCCTTCCGATGGTCCTTGGATTTCACCGGGCGCGCTGTATATCCCCCCCGCCACCAGCGTCAAAGAAATTGTTTCTGGTATCCGCTTGGTTCTCTTGCAGTATCGAGAGTAAAAGCTAGCTGACACCTTAATGTTCCTTTTATATTCTTTTAGTTTCGGCAAAGCAAGAGACTAGGGCTTATGGATAGGCAACGGTGGGCGCCCGGTCCGCTGCCACGGCAAATGTTCGTCGCTAAATCTCAGCCAACGCTTCGATTTTTGGGTCGTTTCAAAGTGCATTGGACACTTCAAGCTTGAGTGCATCACCAAGATAAAAAAAAGGTGCCACTTGCTCCCCTTCCCGAGAGCTGGAGCCGAGCAAAAGCTGCCGAGTGCCATTCTCCCTACGCGGCCGCCCTCCGCCCGGTAGTGTCTTACTTAACGTTTATTCAGTATCGGCAAAAATGATAAAACTATAGAACCAGTAAAGGTCGAAACGAATTATCGTTATGCAGGAATAACGGTTATTACTTCATTTTCGTTTATCGTTAAAAGCTGTAATTTTACCAAATACGTAACTTAAATAAAATTCAAATGTTTAAGTTAAGTTATCACTCCCTAGAAATGAGGGAAATTACAGTTGATATGAGTGCGATATATATTCGTATTCGTATGCCTCATTCGTATACATAAATGTATACACATAGATAAAATTTTAATACGGCAATAAAAAAATGATATAAATAATAGAAACATAAAAATTACTAGTGTTCAAAAAGATATATATTTACCAGCCCGCCGAACGGCACGATTCGAACGCAGCGCTGCCCGTGCGCGCTCTGCCCGCCCTCCCTCCTGTGTAGCCAGCTGGGGGCGCGGCACCGTGCGCGGCTGGCTGGTGCGACGCGTCAGGCCAAGCCGACCTGTGGATCAGTAACGGAGACTGGAAAATGAACGCAGCGCTTCATGTTATTTCAGTGTCGATTCGTCCTGCCCCC